CATATAGCACAACGTCTTACTGTGCCTATAACCAAGCAAGTGTTTGGAACCACATACTTTTGGAATCCACTGCAAAATTTTCTACTGGCCAAGTTCAAGTGAGCAAGCCGGCCCCCAGGTGCAGCTGGAGACGAGGCCAGCTGGTGGCTGCGCCTGGCCCTGCGCTTGCCAGAACATTCTAACATTTACACTTTTGTTATAAGCTATTTAAAACCAATAAGGAGACTTGATGTTCAGAAAATTCAACATGTTTTTTAATGACTAACTTTTAAAAGCCCCACCCACACGTGACACCACCTGAGGACCCGCCAGGGAGCCGGGGTGGCTGCTGCCCTGCCCCTCAAAGCCATCACAGCTCATCTGTGCCCGCAGCTGCGTGAGGACACGAAGGGTTTTTCTCCAGAGTCTATTTTTTCAGCGACAAGGACCCAGGTCTCCTGTGCTGCCACCAGGAAGGGCACGGAGAGCGTCACGCACGCCTGATGAGCTGGAACCCGCCGCCTTACGCCGCCCGCGCCCCGGCCCTGCGCCATCAGCACGTGTGTCTGCAAGCACCGTCCAAGGGGCGCCGTCGTCAAGGGATGCCGGGAGGCAGGTCCACGCTGGCCGGCACACGCGCCCTCGACCACGCCACCCTCTCAGTTCTGCAACATCGCTCTTCTGTCTGGGGACTGAGGCTGCAGCATTGGAACAAAACACAGCATTATTTCATTTTTTCTTTTTGTTTGTTCGTTCATTTAAGCGTATATTTAGAACTGCACTTTGTCAAAAATCTTCCCTTCTCTTTTTATTCCCCAGTTAACTGAGGTTTTTACTTTCAACATTGCAAACTGATTTCTAGAGCATCCAGATCCTAAGTGCTCGAGTGTTTGGAAACCCCTCTGGTGCTTGGTTGAACACGGGAATCACATGAAGATGAAGATGCAAAAACCGAACTTCGGGGGGTAGTTCTGTGCCTTCCAGCGTCTTGTACAGCAAACCCTGACTCATTTTTTTACCCCCAAATATGTCTTCAGTAGCGATTGAATCTGCCACTATTGAAATGAGTTAACTTGCATTTATTCCAAATAATCTCGTTTACTCAACTGTATGCGAATTGTATAAGGTTTCTTATGCCCAAGCTTAAAAAGTGATTCCCAGTAGACGAGGTGGCTGCCCGTCCTAAAGTTGTGGTATTTATTTGTGCAGAAAGATCTTCCCAGAATTCTTTGCTTGCCGCTGATCCAACACCGTGGCAGCCGTGAGCGGAGCCGGGAGGCGGAGGTGGCTGGTGCAGGACGGTGGCTGCGGGAGGTGGTGACACCGTTGCCAAGTCGAGCAGAGACTGGGTGACGGCATCGTCTGTGGGATTTTGCCCTTGGTTTACTGGGTAGGGCCAGGTGCTGCTGGACCCCCTTCTCAAGTGCAATGCAAAAGGGACATCATGTGTATGCAGCGTTCGTTTGGTTCTGTTTTTTGTTTTTAATTTTTCTGCTTTTGTTTTTCTTTGCAGTTTTACTCAGTCTGTATGCATGGACTCTAACCCTCTGCCACACGTGCGTCCACCGACGGGCATTACTACCGTGTCCTATGTAGGGTCGGCTGCGTCCCGCAACACTCAGAATGCTGTGTTTAGCCTTGTTTTTCCAGAGTTGTGTTTTTCTGTCATTTCTTCAAGGGAAACTAAATGATTTAGTTGCAGCAAAGCTTTAAGTGTGTCAGTGTGCTTCTGTGTGGCTGTGCTCTGTTGCCAAGTCTGCAAATCATGGTGAGATCAAGAGGCCCCCGGGACCCACTGCCCGAGGCCACCTGGTTTGCGCTGCTTACTTTTTGAGTTCTTAGGCTCCAGAGGGAGGTAATTTTTCTAAGCTGGGGTTGTGGGGTGGAGGGTGGGCACTGGCTCTCCCTCCCCTGGAACCACCCCCTCCTGGCACCTGCACGCCTCGGCCACTGGGCCCAGGTGCCCGCTGCCCGGCCTCGTCCCCGGTCTGGGGGAGAACGGGGGTGCGGGTCCCCAGGCCCCCGCTGGTGCAGCTGCAGTCGGAGCCCTCTTCAGGAAAAGGGAGGAGAGGGGTCTGTCTCGCAGGCTGCCGGCTCTCCCTGTGTGTGACGCCATTATCGGAATGGTTGTGTGTTCAGTGTAACCACCCGTTGTTTCCACGCTGAAAGGGTTTTAATGAAGGGAAAGAAACCACAGCAATAACACTCATCCACGGAGCAGCTAACTCAGAACATTCTGCTTTTCCTACAGAACTAGCCGGTGTGAAAAGGCCCGGCCGTGTAAATAGCTTTCCTTTTACACTCGTGTGTCATGCGTGTGTACGGTGGTTCCTTTTCAGGTCTCCCTTCTTACCTGGTAGCTGTCCTGTTTTCCGGGCTGTTTTTAACCTAGGAGGAACACGCCCCAGGGCACCGAGCCCACCGGTTCCGTCCCCTCCCAGCCCGTTGGGCCCGGGGGGCCGTCTTGTTCTCGCTTTAAGTCAGGAGTCACAAATGACACTTTTTTTTCAATTAAGGAAAAACCCACAGCTCCACCTGCGAACCCGCCAGGAGCGCCTGCATCTCGCCCGGTCTCTCCTTCGCTGCTGCTAATGACGTCATGAGGACTTACGCTACTACTCGAGAACTATTTTTATGTAATTAATGTATGCTTTCTTGTTTATAAATGCCTGATTTAAAAAGAAAACAAAGAAAAAGCTTGGCATATTTATCTATTTCTCTGTGTACCCATTAGTCCTTTGGCGCCCCTCCCCCAGAAAAGTGTTCAGTACAGGACTGAGCGCGTGCTTGGCCTCCCGGACCCCTCTCCTGGACTCCTTGTCCGCCTTCCAGTCAGACCATGGGGTCCTTCAGTGTCCACCGACCCCAGTGGACATGGGCACAAGCTGGCAGGTCCCCACTGGGCTGTCCTCTATCCCTGTCAGTCTGGCCAAACCAGCAACTCCTTGTACCGTGGCCGTTAGCTGGAGGCCCTGCTTGGCCAGATCAGGGGCATGAGACGGGCTGGAAGGGCCTTTCCCGCCTGTCCTCCATGAGGCCTGGAGACCTGCCCTCTCCTCCCAGGGACAGGTGGCCAGCTCCCTGCAGAACCGCCCGTCTTAACTGGGGCGGGGCTGGGGGTGTCCTGAGGGAGAAACAGAGGGGCTCCCCTAGACTGCACACCCCACTGTGCTGGGCCCAGGAGTGCCAGACTGCCCCTTCTCTGGGCTTCCTGCCACCACCCACTTCTGGCCTTCCAACCCAGGCCCTGATCCCTCCCAGATCATCTGTGAGGCAGATGGGAGCCCAGGTGTACCAGGCCTGTGAGGGGCCCTGTGTCCCTGTCTCCCCCCAGCCTTGGAAGGCCCCCTTGAAACCTGAGCCTAGGTCTCCCAACCCCACCACCGCACATAGATCCCCAGGAGCCCCAGGGAGGGGTGCAGGGTGGGCTGTGGTGTGGACGGAGAAGCCCAGGTTCTACCCACACCAGGCTGGGGCAGGGGAGACCGTGGGGCCCAGGAGAAAGAGCCCTGCTCCCCCAGCCTCTGCCTGTCTTTCATGGGGACTCCCCAAGCCCCAGAACCCGGTCCCTCCATTAGCTGCCCTTCTAGGGTTGGGGGATGGGGCAGAGGAGGGGAGGCAGGCGGTGTGAACTTGAGGCTGGGCCCTAAACTGCAGCCCCGGACCCCCACTGCTTCCTGCTGTGCCCCAGGCCCAGATGTGTGCAACACACCCCTGGGCGGATACAGCCAGGGTCCCAACAGCCTCTGCCCCTCAGCACAGGTGTCCCCCAGGCCTGGCTCCCGTCTCTCTCAGGAGTGGCCTCCCACTGACCTGTAGGGCCCCTCTCCCCAGGTAGGGCTGGACCCTGTGTGAGGTGCGCACCCCCCCCCCCCCGGGAGAGAACAGGCGGCCAGACTGTCCGTGCTACTGGGCCGCGCGGTCCCTCTGCCTGGCCGCTGCCTGGCACCGTCCATCCGAGGGCTGCCCCTCACCACTGTCTCCTGGGGTCTCCAGGGTGGACAGCCGTCTACCGCGGCCAGCCGGCGGTCCAGGGGCACCCCTGTTGGCATGGACGTGGGCTGAGGGCCACCGAGGCCCTGCTCACTCTCAATGCCAGACACTTGCACCTTCCTCACCTCCGCCGGGCCCACCAGGATGGGCAGTGTGACCAAGGGTGATGTTAAGAGACCTGTCCAGACTGGCCGCCCCCCAGGGCATCGTCCCAGCCACATGGGTGCCCTCCGCTGCGCAGTCCACTGCCGTGCTCAGAGCTGCCGAAGGCTAGTTCCAGGCCCTGCCTGGCAACAGCCTTCCCTCCCCCTTCCCCGGAGCATCTCCTGCCAGCGGTGCCCAGACCCCTCGGCCCTCCTGGCTCCCACCCTAGCTCACCACTGAAACGGCCCATGTGCCATCTGAGGTCCCCTCTGCGAGAGAAATGAAGGGTCCGGGACCCACGGTGGGGAGGGAGGTGCTCCTGAGGGAGGTGGGGGCCATCTGGGGGCTGGGAGACCCCCGAGGGCCTTCCCTGTGGTGGTCGGCCCTGGTGGAGGCCATGCTGTGCAGCGTGTGCTGCCCCCTGGCCATTGTGGGTGCTTGACCTGCCAGGCCCTTGGAGCTGGGACCTCAGGGCTCAGCCACCCTCCTGCGCTGCTGAGGTCACTTCTGGTTGTAAGCCGACAGCACCCCGGTCCAGGGCAGGCAGGATGGGTGTCAGAACCCCCTTCCCAAGGCCATAGTGAAGCGCCCTGGAGGGAGGTCAGGCTGGGAGAAACCTCTCCCCAGGAATTCCCGGCAGCCCCAGGCCAGGTGAGGGCAAAGGTTATGGAAGACGGAGGTGGCCTGCCCTCCCCCACACCAGCAGGGCCTCTGTGGGGACCCACGGGGCTGTCCGACAGCCTGGCCTTGTCTACCCAGAGCCCTGGGCCGGAATGAGGTGCCCACACTGGCAGTTCTTGGCCCCCTCCCCTATTGGTGCCGGTTTCCAAACCCCCCAAGGCCTGGGGATGAAATGAGCCCAGGGCAGGGGGAAGGGGTCACCCCTGGGATCCTACATAGGCCCCCAGCTTCTGTTCCCACCCCGTGACCCCCACCCCTAGCTTTCACTTCTGCTCTGTCACCAGCAGACTGGGCCCCACCCTGGCCCCCTCAGCTCCCAGCTGTGCCTGCCTGCCTCTGTCTTGGGGTCCCCACCCCTCCTCTTGTCTGTCGGCCCTGAGCCGCAGTCTGGCCCCCTCAGCCCCCGCGCCCCACCCTGTGGTCAAGGGGGCTGACCGCAGGGGCCCTAATCTGGGGAGGCGGATGCCAGGCGCACCCTCCGTGGAAAGAGGAAGCCGCCTCCCCACTTAACAGTAACAGCTGGCACGGCCCATCCTCCCCCCAGAGCCCCCAGCGTGGCCCCAGCTTCCACCCCACCCACCCCCGCAGCACAGATCCAGCTGTAGCCAGCGGCCCCCTCCCTGGCCCCCCCTGGCCCCGGACCTTGGCCTGCCCTGCTCGCTGCCCCCTGACGCCTCGCCCCTCTCCCTCATCCCTGCCCTGCCCCAGGGTCACTCCTTGCTGGCCAAGAAGAGCATGCTGGAGGCTCGAGGAGCAGGTCTAACTCGGACGAGCGCAGTCCACGAGACCCCCAGGTCCTCCCGCCCACGCTGTGCCAGGCCTCCAGGCAGCTGGTGGTCCCATCTGGGCTGGCCAGGGGCCCCAGCTGCACTCTGGGGGACCTAGGTGACCACCCCTTGAAGGGAGGTGGAATCCCACTGGGAAAAGAGGGCTGGCCTGCCCCTCTGGTCCATCCCCCAGGACAGTCTGTGCCCTCAGGAAAGGGTGGGGCTGTCGGCAGGATGTGAAACCAGGGACTTGGAGGGGATCCCGGCCCCTCCCCACAGAAACCCGCTGTGCTCTGGGGGGCAGTAGGCCTGCACCCTCCTGTCTGCCCCACCCACTGATAGGTGTCCCTGGGGGGGTGGGGACAGGCTTCTGGGACCTGGACGCCTGCCCGCCCCAGCCCCCACGACCGACGACGTGCGCCCTGCACCAGGCCTCACACGCTGGGCCATCT